GACAAAAAAAAGAAAAAAAAAAAAGGAAAAAGAAAAAAACGAAACGATGGTTGAACTGTACAGAAAGATCCCGTAACAATGCCCATTTCTCTCAAATTTCTGAGCATATTTCAGTTGAGTGGCGGTTAAAGGGCCATTGTATCCACTGACTGCTGGTTCTTCATTGTCTCAAGCTCCTTCAGTCATTCCTCTTCTTTCTTCTATATTTAATTACAATTAAAAACCATGGGAGAAAAGATGCACTGGTACCATAAAGTGCACTCCCTTTCTTTTCAACAACTCTATATAGGATGATCCAGTCATCCTGCTGTGGTCGATTGAGTACTAGTTACCCACATATGGATAGATACATGACCCACCATATTCATATTTATACCTTTTCTCCATATGAATGATCATTTTAAGCTATTTTATGCTATAAACAAATTTTATTCAACATATATTTATTATCAAAGGACATAAAATAAAGTCACTACAATATGATCCAAGAGATGAAATAAAATGTCTTCCTTGCACATGAACACATTGTCTTTAGAACATTTTGCCAGTGCCTTCTTTACGAGGCACGGATTCGTGTATGTCCATTCGACGCCAATTTCCGAGCAACGAGCCCATTTGATCTGTTTTGTCGAACAGGCCCAAGAGCCCGCCCGTGTGTATGAAGAGTACCTTTCGCCCTTCCCATTTTTCTGGATTATCGATCATCTCTCTCATCATTCCATAAGCTGCTTTCCCACTTCATAACAACATTAATCACGAAAAGCTTAAAACATACAATAAACACAAAAAGAATATGTTCTTGAAAGAAACATAATAAGAAGATAGCTTCTGCAGATCCCATTTAATTTATCATAATAATTTATCTTTCGAAGAGTTTTATAAATTTACGTACCTGTAGACTGGATCGAGAACAATGCCAGTAGCTTGAGCAATATCTTTCACAAAGTTTAATTCCTCAGCTGTATTCATGGCATAACCAAGGCCTTTGGCCTGCAGGTATGTACATAAGCATTTTATATGGTAAAATAAAGACAAATTGCAAATTGAGCTACCAGATGAAAACAAATAAAAAAGTAATAATGGACGAAATTAACGAAAAATAAGGATCAGTAACAAATTTTGGACCTTATGTATGTGACAATTGACAACCGAACACAAAAATAAACATAAAAAAAAGGCTCACACTTTTTATGTCGAGAATATCACGTGAGCTAACACCTGCTTGAAGTCCATCGAGTAGGCTTTGAGAGAACTCATAAAAGTAATCAGGATCATCACATACACAGAAAGCATGGACCTGGAATTAAAAAATAAAGAAATAAAAAAAAAGAAACAAAAATATGATGGAGTGTATCATATAATAGGAATAACTGCAAAATCTACCCTAAAGTTTATCTTGATTACAGAAGAACCCATTTATCATTCAAAGTACACTGGGTTTTTTTGGTAATCAGATTAAACTTAGGGATATGATTCATAATTGAAGAAGAAAGTATGTACTTTAGCTCTCAACTCACTCAGCCAAGCCCCAACAGATAAACCAGCAATGGTGCCTCCACTGAAATTTATTAAATTAAAGATAAAAATAAATATACAACTCATAAAAATCCCGAAAAGCCAATATAGAATAACGAGCAATTGCTAGAAATGCAATCGAACCTTCCGCATGCTACAACAATGTCGTCAAATGCCAACTCATTTGCTTTCTTGATCTGATCTTTGATCTCCCTAATGGCTTCAATGTATCCCCTGAAAAACAATTAGATTATTTATTTAATCATTGTTTGTTTCAATAGTTTATGTATATATTTCTATATATGATGCATGATTTTACCAGGTTCCCAAGGAGTTTGATCCGCCCACAGGAATAACGTATGGTTTTCTCCCTTCACTCAGCAGTTTTTCTCTCAGTAAATTGGTGAGAGCCTGATAGAATAAATTTCATAATAAATAAAATTAGTAAGAAAGTGGAAGAAGGAAAAATGAAGATGAAAAGAAAAATAAATTTGAGAGACACACAATAGTATCTGTTAATTACAAAATCAAGAAAATTAGGAAAAATCGGAGGAGAGCAGGTATAAAGTTACATTGAAAATGTAAATAAGTGCTCACATAACTATCAAACAACAATCAACGAGGGATATAGTATACATTACCACACTCCCTACGCTAGCATACTCTTCTTTAGAAACAAGGTCTATATGAGCTCCAACCAAACGATCAACTAACAGATTTCCAGTCAACCCAGGGTCCTGGTCAACTAGAACCTAAAAATCAGTCGGTTAAAAGGGTCAATATTTACGGCAAGAAAGAAAAGCTCATTACTCACAAGTCACAACAAAGTAATAGCTCTGAAAAAAAAAATAGGGGTATAGCCGAGTACCTTTGAAGTGCGTAGTATAAGATAACAGTCTAGATTCAAATATCTGGCAGCCACAGCAGTTGCTCGACAATGATTGCTTTGTATTCCTCCAATAGTTATAATGCAATCGGCACCCTTTTCCACAGCATCTGCCATCAAGAATTCGAGCTTCCTTACCTTGTTACCACTCAATTGCATCCCCGAAAGATCGTCACGCTATAAAAAAATTGCAAACATCACATATTAGAGAATATAAATCAAAAGTTCCAAAAAATTTTTAGGTTCAAAAAATTTTTAGAAAATGAGCCACAATAAAAAAAGTAGATATCGAGCTGTTGAACCCATGGTAGAAGTTAGTAATACAAAGCTGATATTTCAGTTTAAAGCCAATGCCTCTAGCAGCACTCAATGCTCAGAATGACAAACACAAGATTATCAAGAAAGAAAAAATAAAGCAGAATCTTATGGTTCCATAACATAAAAAGCAGCAACGAGATAGAAATCATTTCTTGAACAGAAGTTCCGTTCAAGTTTCAACTAAAGTGGTCATCACACTTAGGCCCTCAAAAATTACAATTCATCTTAAGGCAAAAATGTAATGGTATGGCGCACATTTCATTAGGGAGCACCAGTTTCTATCGTCATCATAAATTCATAGTCGTGTGAATATGATAGCTCCCTAGCTATTCCAATTTGAAACATAAACCATCACTCTTAAGTGTGCTTGTAAGAGGGGAAAATCAGATCAGCCATACAAACAAAGGTTTTAATACCAAATTGAAGTAGAACTGTAGAAGTGCAACTGTACAACACTAAAGCTTTTGTTAGAACACCAAATTTCATCACTCAGATAAATACTCATCTGTAATTACAAAAATATAAATCAGCGCATAGGCAGTAATGATTACCTTGACATAGACCTCGGTGTTCTTGGGCAGATTGGGAAGGTTCCATTTGTGAATCGGAGTCGGAAACTATGTGGCACATAAATTCAACCCAAAACACTCAAAATCATCATAATCACACAAAAAAAATTAAAAAAATCGCAGCACTTTGAACCAACAAAAATTGGATCTTGAGAAGAAAATACATACATGACCAAGTGAAAAGATGTGGGGAGGCAGGGGATTGAGGTGCGATGCCCATGAAGGCGGGACGTAAGGCTTCTTGGAGAGAAATTCCAAAGTGGGCTCGCCCGATTTTGGAGCAGAATCCATTTGAATGCCGGATTTGGTGATATAATTTGCCGCAGCTTGGGAGTATGTGACTTGTCGGAAATGGGTTTGTTTGTCGGAGAAGATTTTGTTGTTGTTGATGGTGATGAATGGTGAGCTAGACAGTGGAGCTGGACTTAGAGACCTGCAACATAACATTTTTTTTTATTTTTTCTATATTTGTTTACCCTTTTGGTTCAGTGCCTGGCACATATCATGTCGTAAATTCTTGTTTGAGAATATCATATTTTTATTTATATTATATTTTTATTTATGTTGAGTTTCATAGTATCTACTTGTATATAAAAATTCGCATGTTTTTTGATAAAAGAATATAATTATCTAATGGTTCGTATGTTTGATAAAAAATAAAATAAAATAAAAAAATTGCGCCTTTCTCCCCTCTAATATAAAAATTGCGTCGGACCCCCTTCTATTAACGGTTGACGAGCTGACGCTCCCCAAGTTATGTTTGAGTGTTAACCCCGTTAATGTTTTTGTAAACTTCCCGTTATGCCCTCTTTTATATTTTATATTATACAATTTGAACCAGAAACATAATTTCTCTCTCTCTCTTCGCGATAGTCACTTTTCCTTCGAAAAATTGAAGCTCCACACCCTAAATTCATATCAAAATTGAAGCCCCGCACCCTAAATTCATATGAAAATTGAAGCCCGTCACTCTAAATTCAGATTGTTTGAGGAGTTGCACCCAATTGCATCTCTGAAATTCGACAATTTAGGGTTCTAACTTGCGGCGAATTTCATCTTGAAGACATATAAGGTATTATTCGAATCTGGTATATAGTTATAGTCGTTTAATTCGTTATGTTATAGTCGATTTATATAGTGAATTTTGAAATTAGGGTTTTCAGTTCTCGTGACTTCATGCTTCTGAGATGAAATTGGGCGAAATACGATAGCTTCAGTTTTCAGTTTTCGTGCTTCGTGCTTCAGTTTTCAGTTTTATCTGATTACTTAAATTAGAGATTTTGATTTTGGAAATTAGGGATTATGATTTTTGAAATTAGGGCTTTTCGATTTTAAGATTAGGGTTATTTGTTTGTGCTTCTGATTTTGAAATTAGGGTTTGAAACTTAGGGCTTTTTGATTTTGTAATCAGGCTTAATTATT